ATGAAAATAAACAAATATACAAACTAAGCTGGTGTTCTGTCAAATCTATTTAATTTATATACATGGCATGCCACTGATGGATTAAGAGATTGGTGGAAATTTCGTTTGTTCAGTTTGTACTTTTAACGTAGGATGCAACATATAAGGGAATTCCTATTTCAGATTCTGGAGAAATGTTTGGAACATATATTTTTGGATGGATGGTGTAATAATTCCGTAGTTTGCTACAATATATGGTGACAAGAGTCGCCTATAGCGCTCAGACAGTTTTCTAGTCACATACTATAACTTCTTTCATACGTGCTTGACTGAATCACAGACATTTGAATACTTTGATTGTGTGACGTCGAAAGCATATTATCGTTTTACTTTGACAAACAGGTTCCACCTCGTACTCATAAATCACGGAATGCTAAATTTCAAATACTAAATATGTATTTTTGTAATCTTCATACATCACCCTGGGTAACATTGCTAAATGTTTTGTTTGTTTCTCAATGCACTGTGACGGATAACTGTATACGATAAAAAAACTTCAATACTGGGAACTGGTTCTTGAATCAAGAAACTAATTAAAACGTGTTTTTGGGGGAAACAAGATCACAAGATCTCTCGATGCCAGTTAGTTCACTTAGGTCATCTCTGTGACAAGACGTACTTCTGTTTTATAATTCATAGATTAGTAATAGACAAGTTATTATACAAATATTTATTATCAATGAAGCTTTAATATAGGGCATGAATTGTACCATTTTTGATGGGGTTTCAAGGTTGACAGGTTGTTGTGAACTTGAAGCACACACACAGGATGCTTACATAGGTACTATTAGATTGGAAAGTGCATATGGACACTTCTGCAGTGTTCACCTGAGTGGAATAGCCCATCATATTGTACGAAGGAAATTATAGACGAAAGCACATGATTTGGACTTCACTCGGCACTCGGCTCCCGTGCAAGGTAAGCTTCTAACAATGCTTGGTATTCGGCACATCAAACCATAATTCAATACGTCTAAGAAACCTTATTGCACGTCTGCTAGTTTCAACGTCGAGTCATTATTCACGACGTCTGAGAATTGGCCAAACTACCGTATAATGTACTGTGAGTACACAACTGCCACAGTGCTAGACTACCGACATTACGTGAACATTGCTGAGTGCCTTTTTTGATGAATTTCGTACGTACCTACTCAACCATCACTGGCGCATCATTTGGTGATGTACGTATCTACTCAATACAGTTCCCGGGACATACGTACTAACTCACCGACCATTGGTACGTCATTCGTCATTCGCCGGCGTAAATACAATGACAAAATGCATGAACCAATCTAAAAAATTTATATTTATTGTATTTACTTATTTATGTATATTTATTGCTACATTGTGTATCTC